TACGACTACGACTACTACGACTACTACGACTACTACGACTACTACGACTACTACGACTACTAATACTACTACTACTACTACTACTACTGCTACTGCTACTGCTACCACTACAACTAACACGACGACCACTATTACTACTACCTAGTGCTACAACGACTACAACTACCACGACTACTGCTACTTTGACAGCTACTGTCAGACTTCTACTACAAGTAGTACTACTACAGCTACAACTACTGCAGCAAGTACTACTACTACTACTACTACTACCACTACTACTACTACTACTACTACTACTACTACTACTACTACTGCTACTCCTGCTACTACTACTACTACTACTACTACTACTACTACTACTACTGCTACTGCTACGACTACTACTGCTACTACGAGTGTTGCTACTTCTACTGCTTCGGCGACTACTACTACTACTACTACTACTGCTACTACTACTACTACTACTACTACTACTACTACTACGACCACTACCACTACCACTACCACTACCACTACCACTACCACTACCACTACCACTACCACTACTGCTGCTACTACTACTACTACTGCTGCTGCTGCTGCTACTTGTACTACTACTATTTCTACTTCTTCTTCTTCTTCTACTACTAATAATAATACTACTATTACTTCTACGTCTACTTATACGTGTATTGGGCGTTCGGCCCCTGGTTGTGCCAGAATTGTTTCTTATGTTGTGGGAGGGCGGATGGGAATGGGCATGCCGTGTTTGACTCGCTCGAGCTGGCTAGCTAGACTCCCCTCCTACACATATCTCCTCAGAAGACGATCCAAGATTGTCTACAGAAAAACACCCTGGCCAGCATGTCGAAGCAGATCGAGCCGCGGCGGTAAGCTGCCTCCCAGAGGCCGAGCCACCTCGCAAAACTCACCAGACATCCTCCGCCGCGAAGTCACAACAACGTGGCCTTCCGAAGGTCCCCCCCTAACGCTCCTCCAGAAACCAAAAGATCTCTCCCCAGACAACTCCAGCCGTAGCTACGAGGGCCCCCAGGATAGCATGGCGATATTGGTAACTGTTCCTCTTCCCTCGTGCTCCATGGCCACCGCCGTGCTTTTGCCGCAACGTGGCTCTCCAGAGATCACGACACCTTCCCCAGGAACAGTTTTTCATCCTGAATCGTTTTTTCAAGGTCCCGAGGCCCAGTGAGGGCCCAAACATCCGTCGCTATTTTGTCACAGCGAAAGGGTGTCAGGGTCGAACCTCGATTCCTTGAACCCCTGCACCTGCCGAAGCGGCATCACAAAGGCCTCCATTGACTTCCCGACCGTGATCGCGCCCCTGCTTACCATCCAGCAGGTCAATTCGCTGGCGCTCGGGCAAGAGCGAAGGGCCCAAACTTGACACAACACAATGACACCATTCAATGACCGTCATAGCCCTTTCCTTCCGAATGAACCGGAAATCCTGACGCGGAAGATATGGGGGGCGGATGGACGAGAAAGATTCAGCGACGACAATGGGTGCGGTTTGCGAAGGGTGCGGTTTGCCTCCCGTCATATCTGCCACTCCCGCCCCCCGGGAAACGGATGACACTGTCACTCAATGCGACCGAATCACATGACAATGTCGCTCCTTCTACTACAGTGAAGCACACGTCGAGGATGACAATGCCGCTCGAAACGACGACAATTATGACATTGTCTCTCACAAAGATCCCGGAAAGGCCGCAACAAAGCAACTCGCAAACCGCACGCCGGCGTAACCGCACCGATTGCAGTCGCCGAAAGATGGAAGGAGGAGGGAGACGAGGAGAGATGTGTTCGACAGTCCGGGGTCGGGAACCGACCTCCAGATGAAAATCACCCGAAGCGTACCCAACCCCTTCTCCACGCGAGGCGAATATTTGCCCAAAAAGTGCTTGCCATTAGGGATTATCATTTCAGCTCTAAGGGAATAGGCCTGTCTGCCGCCGTGGCGGCTATGTTATCGCCCTCGCCGCCCCGCCGCCGCCTCGTCGCCGCCCGTCGTCTGGACCTGTCTGCTGCTCTAGCGGCTATGTTGTCGCCCTCGCCCCGCCGCCGCCTCGCCGCCGCCCGTCGTCTGGGCGTGTCTGCCGCTCTGGCGGTCATGTTGTCGCCGTCGCCGCCCCGACGCCGCCTCGTCGCCGCCCATCGTCTGGCCGTGTCTGCTGCCCTGGCAGCTATAGTGTCGCCGTCGCCGCCCCGTCGCCAACATATAGGTTGCTCCACACATATGTTCCACTCGTGGAAAATAGTAGAATCGACCACACCCCGAACTTAATGGTCCCCCTTCTTCGCATTGCGAGTTGCATACGATTCTGCCCCATCGTCCATCCGAAATATGAACCAATGCCATCCCAGACAGGCTGGCTTCCCCCCCCGGCCTCGGCAAAACGTGCTATGCGCTCGCACTTGTTTCTCAGAAAAGCAAAAGTGTTTGAACATCCGTTGCTACAGATGGGGCGCAGTGCACAAGCGCGCGTCGTCGCGCGCGCCTGCCGAAATCCAATCCTTCAAAATATGTCGGCTTCGCGCGGGATTCAAAATCGAGTGTCCCGAACACGCAAAAACGCATGATCTCTAAACACAAATTTCCACAACCAAGAATGCGCTCGCGCTCTTGCAGGTTTTTAAGACAACCATTTGTTCTCAATGCTTTCATCACGTGCTATCAAAGGAGCCACTCGCGAACGCGTGTCGATACCGTTCGAACGCCCTTGCGAGCGTGCTGTCGCAAGAATCCTTTTGCAAGAGATGGGAGAAGCGCGCGCCGTCGCGCGCGCGTGCGGAAACCCTCCGCCCCACAAAACACGTTAAGTTGAAATCGCGTGTCCCGAATAAAACATATAAAACACATGGTCAACCACACAACGAAGAGAAGCAACACGGGGACCGAGAGGGCATATAGAGAAGCCGAGGAGGCGACGTCCTTCGACACGCGTCCCCCGAACCCACACGAAATCCCGCCCATCCAACGACACACCGACCACCACCTAACCCGAGCCCCCACGACGCACCGCGCCCAGACACAATACCCCACGAACACGGCACAGACCCAAGCGGTGGCACCGCGGGTTGGAGCGGAAGGTTCAAGACCCCTCCCCGTCGTCAGGGTTCAAGACCCCCGCCCTGCTAAGCACGGCTCAAGACCGTGCCCACGCGCATGGCCGTCCTAATGGAGACGATGGCCCTCGCCCGTCGCAGACACGAAGCGCAGACGTGAGATGTCCCCCCGGCCCACCCACCCCCCGCCCGATGCCCCATAGTTTTCCTTCATCTCCTGTGGCGGGGCAGGAGGGGCTAGAGACGTCTTCTTCACGGAAGGGCACCTTAAGATATGGACCCGCAAGCACCAAACGCGCACCGACGAACGCATCCCCGACCCCCATTGATCAGCGGGAGCCGGGCTTACGGTGTCGAGTCATGCAGGGAAGGGCCGAGGCCCCAACCGCCCTTGCACGACAGTGAGACAGCGAGTCGTGCCCACCCGCCCCGAACGAGGCCGAAACGCAGGAAAAACGACGGGGCGCCAATAAACCCGACGACTGTTGACGATCTCGGCCGCCAATTTCTGCTCCCCCTCAGCGTCGCTGGGCGTCATCACGCGGAAGCCGAAGCGCGGGGAGCCTGAGTGCCGCGCCCTGTCGTCACGCGCGGAGCCAGCCAAACAGTCCTGGAGTGGCATGCTGGTATGCCGATGTCCACCGTCGTGGTCATACGACTTTCGGCAATCTCGGTCGCCAACTTCTTAAGCATCTCATCGGCGTTGCTGGACGTCGGCGCGCTGAAGCCGATGTCAACCGCCGTGGAGGATGGCGGTGGCCCCAGCGACACGCTATGCCCAGCGAGAGGACAGCGCGTCGCTCCGCCCACCGGCGCAGGAGGCCAAGAATAGCTCGGGACGTTGGCGCCAAGGGACTGGGAGGTGGTCGCCGTGAGCCCGACAGGGTCCCAGAAGCAGGCGGAATCAAGCCTGCGCGGGCGGCGGCCGCCAGCCGCTTCCGACGACGGCGAGCCGCACGCGTCGGCACCGCAGCAGCGGCAGGGCCGCGGCCAGGGGGGGCCAGCACGGCGCCGCCGCGGGCAGGCGGCGCGCGGCCCGGCCGCTCCGCGCCGCCCAGGCCGCGCCGGCCAACCTCGAGCCCTGACCCCGGGGAAAGGACCCCCCCCCGGGGAGACGCCTTGAGCCAGAGGGAGGGGGTTACGGGACACACACACACACACACACAGACACACACGCGCACCTGCACAAAACCAACAATCCCAAGTTTCATCTCGCTGCATCCCCCAACACCCCACAAAATCCACCTGGCACTGTCCAGCGGTTGATTTCCGCGGCCTGCCGGACTGCCGCGACCATGTCCGACTTGGTCAGGGGCATCTGTATGACGCAGTACCTGGTGGATCACACCAGGGGGGAACACTTAGTCCAGCGAAGAAGCGAAGGAGGGAGGAGAGGAAGAGCAGGGGGGGAGGGGCAGTAGGGCAGGGAGACGGATGAGGAATGGGGATGGGTGACGGAGGAGGGGGCCTGAGAGAAGGGGGAAGGAGAAAGTAGGGAGAGAAAGTAGCGAGGAACGATGATTCAAACTTCGATTATTGTCTGCGACCCCAGATCATGACCAGAAAACAAGCGGGAATAAAGGCACAGACATATTCTGCAAAACATGATTGGGAAAAGGAGGAGGAGAAGGAACACCATAACTGGGCACACGCTAACATGGATTACAGAAGATCCGTAGATCTGGTACGGCAAGTTCGCGTCGTGTCGACCCCATCGCTGGCTCCAAACAACGACGGGCCGATTCTGGGCCACGGGCGGCTTTCAACTTTAACGCACGCGCTGGGGTCGCCGCCGGTCGACACGACGCCAGCCTGCCGTACGTGGGGGCGGGAAGGACGAACCAAACAGTGCACGTCGATGTGTTGCATGGCACTGTTGCACGGAATCGGGACCGATAGCTAATCCACCCGCCAAAACACGTGGTTGGGTTTCCTCGCTAGGCAGACAGAGCCCGTTCGTCCGTCCCCCGTCTGACGGACAAGGCCAGGGGCGGGACTAGCTCATGGGGCGGACGTCGAACTGCATATCGGCAATACACAGCCGTCACATTGGAGAAGCACGTCCCTGGGCGGGATTGGCTATCGGCCCCCCAACGGCAGTGACTGGGCGATCGGGGGTCGATGCGTCCCCCCTGAGCGCATCCCCCCCGAACGGTGCCCCTGACCACCGCACACGCACACACACACACACGTCTTCCCCCAACGCACCGACGGAGCGCAGCCGACGGCCCACGTGGCACGAAGGCGGGGCACGCCCGAGGCACTCGATGCATCCCCTCTGCCGCAGCGCGGCCGCAGCTGAGAGACCCCAGAAGGGTCGAGCATGTCTAGTCGGACGACATGTACATGGAAATCAAATCAAGCCAAAATGGCAGCGTTCGCATCGGGATAATCAGCCGATGACGCTGGGCAATGTGTTGATTGCATACCCCATCCGACATCGTCGTTTTCTCCTCACGGGCTGATATCGCTTCATCAAAGCGGCTGGGCCAATGCTGGATTTCAGCAATGACCCAGAAGTCTATATCTCCACCTTCGTTCGATACGGAAGCTCGGTTGGCTTCGTTCAAGTTGTCCGTTAACTCTTGAACCGATGGAATTGTTATTCCTTTTTGCGCCACTTCTTGTTCCCATTGGTCCCAGCCCGTCTCTGGTCGAATTTGCTCAGCACTAACATGATTCCATACGATAACAGCAAGGGCAGAACATCTTAACGGACAAGCGTATTGGTCCAAATCTGGCGTCCAGATTAACGGCCACCATTGGGCAGCGGTTGGGGCATTTTCCCCATGCTTGAACTTCAGCCACTCAACGAATCGAAGCGTGAGTGGTTCCAGATACTGAGAGTATGGCTCATGACGCGCCGGCGGCTGTGCCGTGGCGCTGTCAGGTCTCCAGGAAGGGACGGCCCCTGGTTGTGAATTCGCAAACGTACAGCCTGCCGAAGCAGCCCCGAGACGCATCTGCGGGTTGTTTACCCACTTGCGCTGGCGTTGTTCAGCTTGGTTGAACTTTCCCAGCGCATCGGGATAACTCTTTCGCATCGCCCTCAGCCTGTTGGAAATGATATTGGAGCCGCTTTCCCCTCTTGGGGGTGCGTCTAGGCGTGGAATCAATCCTAGGCTCGCCCATGCAGCAACCAATGCATCTCTGCCAGGTGGCGTGAAAATGGTCACTCGGACGTTATGTTTGTACGTGACGGAGATGAGGCATTGCAGACAATACCCGGAACCAGCCCTCACAGCATGGTAATGATGGCAAATGTAATGTACCTCCCATCGACAGTCCACATTCCCCGCATTATGATAGCCTTGTCTTCCTAAGACAGCGCGCTCTGTCCCTCATCGGCTACTTCTTCATCGGAAAATTCAATGTACAAATTGTGTTTTGCGAAAAGGCCACCTCATACGCCGTCCATTATTGAGAATATTATGTTCCAGACCATCTGTTCGGAGTTCCGTGCATCCTGTTCAACCAACGACAGATGCACAATGCGAGAGATGTCATTGAAGCGTGCATGTCCTGTTGTCACAAAGAGTGCGCCACGGCTGATACGATACCTTAGGCGGGCCACCACTCGCCCGCTATAGACAACAACATATTGCCAATTCTCATTATGTGTCGCATCAGTTTCCCAGAAAGATGGAGTAACTCCATGAGGCCAAGTTCCCTGAATCGGAGGTCCACTCCCGGCCGGGGCAGTGCCCGCGGCCTGATAGACCTTTGCGAGTGGAGCGTCACCATCCTTCCGCTGGCTGAGCCAGTGAGGGATGTGCTCGGTGCGTTCCGCAGGGAACTCGCGCAACCAGGTGCTTCGAGCAATCCACTGGGCTTGTTTGGGTACTCGATTGTCCCCGAGCCCAGCGTGGACTCTTTTATGGCTTCCAGGCGCGTAACGCGTAGTAAATGCCCATGGCATTGCGCCGTTCCGAATTCATAAGGCGCATACATGCGTTCAATGCTGTGGGCAAAGCAAGAGTGTCATCGACATGCACGAAAGAACGCTGGCACGGGCCTGCAAGCCCGTTCGGCTCGATCAGTGGAAACAACTCTATTTCCATTTTCCTCATCAGCGAGTGCGTCGCGCGAGGCGTCTGGATTCAGAGAAGACTGCCAGTGCTCCTTTAATTTTGTCTGTTCAAGAAACATGATGTCATCAGCCCATGCTCCGAGGGCGTCGGTTCCTCCCGGCGAACACGTTGTTAGACCATGTGCGGCAAGAGCAGTTGTGGCACGAAAGATCCCATCGCTCGTCATCTTCCGACTGAGATCACCGACATACACCCACCCGCCCAATGATCGGGCGCATTCAGCACAATGCGTGGCCATGTACGCCGCAGATTCACCAACAAATGCATCAGAAAGCGCTCGGTGACTAGATGTTCTCCAAAAACCGGAGCTTCCCAACGTAACGGATTGTTGGCCTTGTCTTAATATGTATGCCTCCGCTTCCTCGGCTGTGCCAGTAGCGTCATTCGGCAAGACTAGAGGAGTAAGTGCAGTAAAGGCTTCCTGAGGGATGAAATCTGGTCGACCATCTGAATCAATTTGTGATGTGAGAAATTTGATCGCTTGATTAAACCCTTCCACATCTAGCCCCCTTAGCAGCGCGAAAGCTGGGTCATGCACCATGCGCGCATTGTCCTTGATCGCGCTATAGGCGCGCCCACGGAGAGCTGCAATGCGGGGCGGCGCCGGGCCCGCCCCGCGGGCTTCAATAACTTGTTTTCGAACTTCGTCACTCGTCTCATCGCGGGTGTTCTCTCGTTCTTGTTGTCCCAGGTACACGGGGAGGCCCAAATAGAAAGCTCTGCATGGCCAGCGCTCCTAGTTCGCCCCAGAGGGCCTTGCTCTACAGGGCTGAGCTGTGCATGATCCAGCGGCGGCGGGAGAGTCAGGCGCAAAAACAAAATCGCAACCCCTGGGCTTACTTCTGCGGCAACTTCCGCTGCAAACGACAAATGAAACCTTCCCCCGGCATCGGGGGTCCTGAGTCTGTTGTCTATCTCTAATGGCGAAGCCGCAGGGCGCGTGTTTTCTTCCCCAGATGTTCTCGCGACAGTTGGTTCTTCGTTGATCCCGGTTGCACAGGTCAACGCTGCGGGATCAGTGCCCATCCTTGCATTAGGAGACCCCCCCGACGCAATGTAACCCGGATAGCGAACTTGGAGAAAATAACGCAAGTAATAAGCCCAAATTGTATAAGGCAACGAAAACTCAGTAGGTTCATTCCTTTTTCCTTCTGTTTGCGTCAGATAGCGAATCGCACAGATGACCCTGTCTTCCTTTAAGAATTGGGCCTCTTCAGTGGAGAGCTGCCTGATGCCGTCTGGCGGACCCCCACCGAGGCGGACCTGCCAAGTCCATATCAACTCATTCCGAAGCGACAGATGCGCTCGGCTCGATTGCAGTCCAAAGCGCACATTCAAAATATCCCTTACAACCTTAACGACAATCGGCACGGAGTCATGGCCGTTAATGTCAGTTGGAGGCAAATGCAAACCTAAATGTATGTTATATCTCTCTCTCTCTCTCTCGCCCCACCACCCTCTTCAAGCCTTCCCGGCTGAGAGGCCTGTGAGTCATCCGTTATAGGCTCCGCAGTAGGTGGGTCCGGCAAATCAAGCAAGAAAGATTTGAGTCCACCTGGGGCATCCACCTCGATAGTTGTCTTGCTAACACTGACTATGCCAGGCTGCCGATGTCGTGCGTCCGTCCGTCGGCGTACCAAGAGCAATCTTGCTTTCCTGCAAGTCGATTATCGGGGGGCCCTCGGTGGCGGCGTCGGAGGCGTAGGCAGGATCCTCGAACCTCCGGCGCCCGGCGCTCCCCTCGATCGGCGTGGGGGACGGAGCATCTCTCATGGAAGGTTTCCACTGTTGTTGAGTATTGGGCGGAGGCGCCTGCGCCTTTCCCTTAGGCAGCTGATCGAAGTTATCTGGCTTGGCCAATGACTTCGGAGCAGGTCCGGGGGGGGGGGCGGAAGCGGCTTCGGCGCAATGTCTGCTAGCGGCCCCGAGGGATCCCTGTCTCCTGGAGGCGGCGCCGCAGGAGATGGGCCCCCTTCTTGAGAGACGTCACCCGGTCCAACAGCCGTCGTTCCCCCTATGCCTGCAGGGACAGGCGGAGCCGGAGATCTGGCTGGTCTCGGCGGCGGAGGCTCCGGCGCCATGTGAACGTTAGAAGGTGAGGGCGGCTTGGCTGCGCTCGAAGCCGGCCCGCCCGCCGGCTGCGCTGGTGGCTTCGCCTTAGCTCCGTCGTGAACTTGAGTTTCGGCCATTCGCTTATCCCCTTCATTTGCTCCGTCCAAAAGCGAGTGTTCAACCTTGAGGTG